TGCAATAATAAAATTTCATTAGTAGTATATATGTTGCAAAAGTTTCGTTTAAAAAAATGTTGAATTTTTCAATTTCACTAGATATCTTCTGGATTTTTAAATATTCAGTTTTTAAACGATATTTCCATTAATTAGCCATTAAACAAAAAAAAAAAATAGGAATTATTTAAAAAAAAAAAAATGAATGATAGCGGGATCGAACCCTGGCCATCTGCGTGGGAGGCAAGCACGTTACCACTAGGATAACGCGCTACTGCAATAATAAAATTTCATTAGGAGTATATATTTTGCAAAAGCATTGTTGTAAAAAATTGCTAATTTTTCAATTTCGCTGGATATCTTCCCGATTTCCAAATATATAGTTTTTAAACGATATTTCCATTAATTAGGCATTAAAAAAAAAAAAAAATAGGAATTATTTTAAAAAAAAATAGGAATTATTTAAAAAAAAAAAAGAATGTTGGCGGGATCGAAACCCAGCCGTCGGCGTGCTAGCCGAGAACGTTACCGAGAGGCCAACGCGCTCATTAAAATAATTAATTTCATTAGGAGTATATCTTCAACAGATTGAATAATTTTTTTCAATTAAAAGTCCACAAGATGTGGCTTATCCCTTCCGCTCGTTCTCCAGTCAACTAAATTTCAGTTAAACAAATAAAAAACAAAAAGCATTCATGCCACAGAAAATAAAATTCATTATTTTTCATCCGCAATGATTTCTTCACCCGGAGATGATGATTTTTCCACGAACGTTAAAAGTGGCGCCATCCCTCAGATTTCTTCTGACCTAAACGTTCAATTACCAACAAATTATCATTACCAATTTTTCCTAATTATTTACATTGTTTATTAAAAAAAACAACCGCTTGACAGATTGTCAAACAAATTTATAAATACTCAATAAATCAATTAATTTTCCATTCTAAAAAAAAACCGATAATTAAGACTTCAACAATTTGAAACGTCCATTTACCCCAGCATCCCCTAGATGCTGACACCTGCGTATTTAACTGACCTAAATAAATAATTATAAAAACGACCTTGCGTACTCTATTGACCTAAAAATTTGGTCTGTCAAAAATCGGAATGAACTGTGCTAGTGGCGCCCTGAACGAGGAATTCGCAAAGTTCGCCAATTGTCACAAGTATTTCCGAAAAGGAGTGGAGGCGGCGGGGAGGGGGTTGCAATGATGGGGTACATCGTGGGTGGCCTGGAGACGCTTGTGTGGTCCTCCGGGTAGTTCCGTAGCTTGGAATATGCCCTAAAGACGATGTATACGACGCTTCGTCGACAGGAAGAGGTGCACAGACGCTTGTCCGTGGCATCCCTCGTTCCGCAATAATTTCAACATCCACAGATCAACAATGAAGTTCCTCCACATCAAGGTAAACAAATAAAAACATTAATACCGATAATAACACGCCTGAAAATTTCGTCCACCGATTATTTACCGCTGCATCTGGCTATAACCTTCAATGCACACCTGTTTACACCCACGAGCTATAAAAGAACTCTGTCAAAAAAATTTGCTTGGCAGAGTTCTGCTGGAATTTCACTGCAAAAGCCTGATAGATTTTTAGATTTTATGAGGAAATCACAATATTTCCATGAGAGATGCTGCGGAGAAAAAATTTGACTCGAGAATTACTGTAGAGTTCCAATAAACGGTTCCCCAATTTTAAACAGAATTATTTGAAAATAAAAAACAGAATATTTCCCGAGAACTACTCCAGAAGTCGTATAGAATTATTCCAGAGTTCCAAAAAATATCCAACAATTTCTGAACTCCGTTGCAGGCTGCGGTGTACCTCTGCCTCTTGACATTGACCCCTGAAATAACCTGCGAACTATCCCGGAACTTTGTTGTAAACGACAGCAACGATAACAGTACCTGGAAGGAGTTGAGCCTAGGTCTGACAGACTCCAGCTGTCGAAGACCAGCGCAATGCGTTTCCCTGGAGTACAGAACATGCCTGGGCACATCACTGACCTACGAGCAAACATCCCTGGACCTGCTGCCAAGGAACCACTCGCAGGATAAAATCAACGAGACACTAACCCAACTTGAGAGCTTGAAGTACATCCCAAAATGCTGGACAGTGGTCCAGCCACTGCTGTGCTCAGTGTTCATGCCCAAGTGTTCAAACAATCAGCTGGACCTGCCATCCCCAGACACCTGCAGAAAAATTCTGAAGCCCTGTGGAATAGTCATGAACAGTACGATATGGCCGGAGTTCCTGAGGTGCGATAACGAGAGAATTTTCTCGACTCAGTGCAAGAACGACGTGAGGGACGTGAAATTTGGGACCCCAGGCAAATGCCTGAGTCCCCTGGTGAGTGTCAGCTCATCCGTAAGTGGCACTGACGAGTCCTTCGATGGAATTGATGGCTGCAGAGTTCCCTGTCACGATCCCATGTTCCTGCCCGATGAACTCGCCCAGATTCACTCCTTCATCGCTTGGGCAGCTGGCATCTGCGTATTCTTCAATCTTTTTACAATGGTCACATTTTTCATCGACTGGAGATCAGCCAGCAAGTATCCAGCTGCTATTATTTTTCATATCAATGGGTGCTTCCTGGTGTCGTGCATTGGCTGGCTGGTGCAATTCACTCCTGGCAGCAGAGAAGTCATCGTTTGCAGAAAGGATGGAACTCCCAGAACTGGAGAGCCTAGGTAAAGTTGAAATTGAATCTCCTGAGTTCTCCAAGAACAACGGATTACCGTGAATTTTTATTCAAATCGATTTTTTTTAAAATATTTTCACAGTGGAGAGAATATATCATGTGCTGCAGTATTCATCATGGTCTACTACTTCTCCATGGCAGCTGTCGTCTGGTTCGTCATCCTGACGTACGCCTGGCACATGAGCTTCAGGGCCCTGGGAAAAATTCAGGACAAAATCGACAAGAAGAACTCCTATTTTCACCTTCTCGCCTGGTCTATCCCATTCGTTCTCACTGTTCTCACTTTTGCGTACACCAAAATCGATGGAAATAGTGTCACAGGAATTTGTTATGTGACACATGAACCTGTGGCTAGAGGTCTTCTGGTGCTCCTGCCCCTGCTGTGTGGATCACTCGCTGGTGGATATTTCTTGTCAAGAGGTAATTAACGATTCGTTTTGGTAATTGTTTTTTCATCTCATCAATTGTTTCATGCGCTCTAAATACCTGGAATGTCACGTAAGTCTGAAGAGAATATTTATTATTGAAAGGAAATTTTTATTTCATTTTCACTCAAAAATTCTCTCTGTTCCCAATTTTCGTTTATATTTCCGAAAGACTAAGCCAATTTCTTTTTCTCAGGATTAATCACGCTTATCCACTTGAAGATAAGTAGCCAAGAGATAATCTCTAAACGTGCCAGTTCAAAAATCCGGGAGACGATAATCCGCGTGGGTCTCTTCACGATATTTATTTATGTAGCAGTGATAATAACGATCTACTGTCACATCCACGACTTCCTGAACTCAGAAAAATGGTCGCGTTCCTTTCGTGATTACATGTGGTGTTCGATCCTGACTAAATCCCAGGGGACAAATCAGTGCACCATGGAGTCACGTCCAAGTATAGCAAAACTTCAGCTGCACCTGCTGGCGCATTTTTTCGCTGGAGTTCTGATGTCGTCGTGGGTGTGGACGGGTTCAACAGTGGACACCTGGACACGCTTCCTTCGACGGACATTTCATAATGAGAATGAGGAGCCAGTGAAGCTGAAGAAGCACAAGGTGATAGCCCAGGCATTCGCCAAGAGGAAGACATTCAACAATGCAGGACGTCTCTCCATCAGTTTTCATCATACTCACGAGGATCCAGTGGGCATGAACTTCGACCTGAACTCCGTGGCATCTCAGGACTTCAGCTCAACTTGGGCAGCTGCTCTTCCAAAATTCGTGACACGTCGTGGAGCTCTCGTTGGCAACAACACAGGATCAACCTCGAGTTATCGAAGGAACTCAGTGGATTCAGAGATCAGTATAAGTGTCAGGAGATTCTCGGTGGAGTCCAGGCGAAATTCCCTGGACTCTCAGATATCGTATGGTGTGCAGTTCGCTGAGCTGAAGACAACGAGAAAAGTGGCATCATCCTCTGGGCATAGATCGAGACGAGGTAAACGAAGAAGAGAGTTCAGTAAGTCGAGATCGACGAAGTCAGGGCCCCTATTCAGGAGGGGAAGCACCACCTCTCAAGAGAGTCAGCTGGGGGCACAGATTCTCTCGGCGTTGACAATCGGCGGTGTTCCCAACATGAAGAGGAGGTCTGCTACTGTTGGACTCAATGGGGAGACCCTGGGCTCCAAGATTATTGATGGCAAGGATATGGGAATGCTGATGCCGTTTTTATTTGGTGGACAGAGTAACAGTGACGATGACACCAGTGAGGAGAAAAATCGGGACGTCGAGGCTGGACCTGTGGAGAAGACGCAGGAGAGTGAGAGTGAAAGTGAACCCGATGAGGAGACAAAGATGATTGAGAATGAGGGGCAGAGGAGCAAGAGCAGTGATAAATCGGGGAAGAGTTATCAGGAGGGCAGGAAGAGCAGGGAGAGCAGGAGGAGTAAATATGTTATTCAAGATGAGACTATCCTCAAGCAACTCATTCAAGAGTCCAAGGAGATCGTCAGGAGGGAGAGGGAGGAGAGAAAACCTGGAATTGGGGATTTGGGAGCGAGCATTACGAATTATTGCCCGGAATTGGGAAAATTAATGATTGGCGATGGACAAATCAATGCCAGGGAAATGGCAACTCAGACTTCGCTGCCTCTGGATGTACTGGAGATGGAGGAGTTGAAGCAGAGTATTGATGAAATCATCAGCAGCAGAAATTGCAGCTCAAAGGGGACACAGATATCACCGCAATTGAATAAAGGGGGCAGGAGGGGTGAGAAGGGGTCAGCGGTAAGTCCTGTGCCTGCACCGAGACCATCCAAGGAGGGAAAGAGGAAAGAGTCGAAGAATGTTTGAGGGGCAGTGAATTCTTTGGGAAATTATATTGCTTTTTTTTTATTTTTATAAACTGGAAAAAACTTGATTTTTTTTGGTGGAAATCACCAAATATTGAAAAATTCACTCGACGCCCTCAAATATTCTTCTGCAGTTGTAAATAAATGTTTTCAATGGTTTTGTAATGATGGCATTGCATTTAAGGGAGGAAAAGTATTTTTCTACTGTTTATAGATACCTCACGCCGATTTTTGAGAATGTATTGACTTTTTTTTTAATGTTTTTTCGATAGATTTGTACTTAAGATTAATGATAATACTCATTTATTCCATGACAATCGATAATACTCGGCCAAATATTGTTGTTCCGCATGTTCGAGAACTTTAGTTTATGAGAATATGTATTTTAAGACTGAAATGTCAATGAATTCGTTTGATACGACGATTATAGTGAAGATTATATGTAGTTTTTAATTTTTACTTTAAACAATGCAATACAGGATGTTTGTCAGGATTATTTTTTACCAATGCTCGACAATTTTAAAGTTATTGTCGATTTGTGGAATGCAGTCATTGAATTTGTATTCAAGAATTCCAATAAATTTCATTTATTAATCAATTAATATTCTCCGTAAGGATTCCCATAAATTTATTTCACGAACGAAAACGAATTCGCTCTTAAAAAATTAACATTCAATGAATAAAAAATCAAATAATTTTTGTACTATTTTCAATGTTCTACAGAGCTGGGCACTAGTTTGTAAAATTGACACATTGCTATTTTAAATAATCGGAGATTATTGTTAATTAATTAATTAATTGATCTCCCCAGCTCTGGGTCACAGTAAAAGATGATGGCAGCACTCTCTTAGGCACAGTAAGACTTCTATTAAGTAGAAAATCATCACACTCTCCTCTTTATTACACAGTGAACACATTTTTTACTCTAAGGCAACAATTCCCCTAATTTCCTATTAGATATCTATATTATTTATCATATAACCGATATTCTCTACTGTTCACATTATTATTCCATTAGACAATCTCTTTAGTTTAACATTACAATGAAAAATGGTTACAAAAAATAAGAAATTGATGGATTTGACAATTGATTTGAAGCTTGGACTAGCCAATGAACTTAATTACTTGGTTTTCTTCTTCTTACTAGTCTTACTGGATGTTCTTTTGATAGTACCTGCAAACAAATTGCGAGAAAATATTTCTTTAAAAAATGAAAATGTGAATTGAGCATGAATTTTTGGATAGCAGCACGAAATAAAAATAAAATTTCGATATTCACCACCACCAGAACCACCACCGATGACAATAGAGCACACGTTGGCATCACCCTTCGGTGACAACTGGCGTGGCTACTTGTGTTTCGAGTGGCTTTTGAGTTGTTTAGAATGTTCGTTACCCCAGAGAAGATGATCAAAACCCTCGCCAGCGAGATACAGAAGACTGCAGAAGAAGAGAAGAGCGAGCAGGAAGACAATCCTCATGGGCAATGAGAGGACCTCCATCACTGGATACACCCAAATGCCGGACTTGTAGTAAATAAAGTGAATCCTAAAAATGAATATCCAAAATAATTTCTAACATTTCGATTACCGCATTCACTTCAATTTCATTTAATTAATTGACTTTTTTTTTGTCGATATCGAATTGGAAATGGAATAGATTAGATTCTAGTTGCGTATTTTGATGTCATGATTGCGTAGTCACTCACCAGACTAAATACGACAGCATGACAAGTGCGAGACCACCGAAACCGTATGACCTCTTTGGGTATTGTCTCGGTGCGACAAGCATTTCAATAACTGTTGAAACCACAACCATCGTATGCATCAGATGATTCAGCCACCATGGGAAATAAGGATCGAGAGCTTTTGGTAGCACCAATTCACGGTCAACGAACATCAGGCTCCAGAACACGACGCCTACGAACTGAAAAATTCAAAGAATAAAATTTCATTCCAAACGATAAAATCACTCGGCAATTATATTTACAAATTTTTGTAATTTTTTTACCAACGACAAAGTCACTTGGCATTTCTCTAGAATTTTTTATTGATGAGTCATTTAATTTCTTGAATATTCCCGTAATTAAAATTAATTTAAAAAACGTGAAATTTGAAAAATTCGGTCAATAAACATTTTTTATCTTCATATTTCGTTTCCTTTCGTCCAATAAAATCGATTAAATCGTGAAAATTGATGATAAATTAACATAATTAATTGGAAGATTTGAAATAAACATGAAGGGGTATTCACCATGGCAAGAGGAAAGCCGAACGCGGCGTGGAAATAATCCTTGATCCGCCTCAAAGCTGGAGTTCTCTTCGGTATAACTTTGTTTGACCCATAAAGATCATTCAAAATGCAGAGGAAGAAGAAGACTGTCTGGGCTATCTGCAAAAAAATAATAAACCATTCAGGTCCGATTCTCTCCCGTGATTCTGTTGTATCATTGAATGTCATTGTACAATTGTCAGGTGAAATGTCATGAAAATTTCTACTCGCATTCGCTATTCAATAACTTTTGACAGTCGACTTGACACGGGGGAAATGAATTTTTTATCTTGGGAATAGTCACGTGGAGATAACATTTCGCTCTCACGGTCTCATATTATAAAAAGTTTAAATAACAAGTGACCCAATCACGTCGGGACCTGTGATTCGTGATTTTAGAGTTCTCGGGTCATTGTGGTTGAATCGAGGATCGATTTCCTGGGACTGGACCCAATTTTTTGTGATAAAAAGGGTGATGACTCGATGAATAATTACTATCGGGCAAGATGACAGGTTTTGCAACACCATTTGTTTAAAATAATTGCTGGGAATTATTCAGTTGGAGGGGAAGTGCTTAGATATGGCGAGTGGCTGGATAAAATTTTTATTAGAAAGCATTTATTTATGGGGCATTAGAATTATTTAATAAATGACAAGTTGAGGTACCAACCACATCCCAGACAGTGAGGAATTTGAATTTCCCACCGTATGCCCCGTGCATCTTGACGACATTTCCTGGTACATCAGTGAATGTGAAGTCATAATAAACAGAAAATGCAAATTGCGCACAGGCAATTACGTGAAATCCAATCAGCAGATACTCCCTCATATCCCCGATTATTCGATTATTTCACTGCTCGTTATCTACACGGAAAAAATATATATACTTGAATCCAGTATATTATATATTTTATCCCGACAGGAGAAGGGGGAGGGGCTATTTATCGCAATTTTTCGTGGAGGTGAAAGCGAAAAAAAAGTGATGGAATTATCGCATTTTTTTTTATTATTTATTTATCTGGATGATTATTGGTTTTAGATAGAAATGTTGAGGAACTTTTTTCTGAGGAATTTAATTTTCGATAAAAAAACTCTTGTCACATTTTCACCTAAAATCGACAGCTTTCGAGATAACTCGATATTTGATGGGAGGAAAAATCGACTTTTTTCTTCAATCGCAACTAAAAAGGGTGGCGTGTGGAAGAAGATCGAATCGTACATCTGAATGCGGTCGATCGGTTGTTGGCATGACTTAATGTGTCGAACATTCTAAACTTATCGTTTGAGATCGATTGAATATGCAATAAAGTAAATCGGCGCGTACTCCACGATAATCCACGAATTAATTATTTTCATTTATAATTTTTGGGTTATATATCTTTCGTTAATTTATTATTGCATGATTATTATTTATAGCCGATTTTTTCGATATTTTTCGCTGATTTGGAAGTCGAACGGGACTCGTTGACAGATGAAATTTTTAATAAAAATTCTAATGATGCGGTTGGAAAATCGATTGTGCAAGTACTCGGCTATTTTTTCTATACATCTGACAAAAAAAGAACAGAAAAGGTCATAAACTTGGGAAGAACTTCCATAAAAATATCGGAAGAAAAAAATTGATTGAATCGCAATAAAATCGGTAGAAAATGATTTTTCTCCTGCTCGGGCTTGAAATTCCAGTCTCCACCGGATGTAACTTAATAAACAACAAATCGATTTTACATCTCCGATAATTGAATTACCCGTGTCACTATTAGGTTTTCTAAAAACACTCCGACGAGACCTCAATGTCCGAATGAAATAAACAAATATATTTTTATTTATAATAAAGAAAAGGGAAAATATCAAATATCAAAAATTTCTGCATTTCGAAAAATTCCCAAAGGAATTATCAATATCACATATATACCGAATATATTCTCCGAAAAACACAATATATTATAGATATATCAAATATAATGATTTTCATATATTTTTTTTTTGGAAAATGAATTTTCCCATGGATTTTCTCGGATGGAAATGTAATCCGTAATCCGTGGGGCGTGTCTTTTCCGCGATAAAATTGGGCAGTTGTACTTCCGGGTTGCCACGAGGTTCGGTAAAACCTGAAGACTGCCTGATTATTTCAGGAACACCACGAATATTCTCGGCACAATCACCAACTGGGGGAGAGACTGGGGGATGATGCGTCGCGCACTTTTACCTCGAGCTTTCACCGGGGAAATTTCGCGCTTTTCATGGAAAATGGAAGAGCTTTGGGAGTATTGACGTGACTCGAGTGAATAGACTTGACTTACTGAACCACCCGACGAGAATCCAGTGGCACGAGCACCAGTAAATATAAATGTCATTGGGAGGGGGTGGGATGCTGCGTCGTGCGATAGAGTTCGAATGATCAGAACCATTTGCCACTCCTCGGGTAATCATTTGTCAATTGCCAAAAGGAATTGTGACATTTGTTGACATTCCACCGTTTCTCGAATTTTTGTTGCAATTTTTTTCGCTCGAATTCCCGGTGGAACTCCGGGATGGCCGGAATTTTCGCGGGGAATTCCGCGATTTTTTTCAGAATCTCTTTGATTTGATTCTGAATCTCACTATTTGTCAACTAAAGACTAATGACAGTTGCTGATAATCAGGCGTGTTCCAAATTTTGGAAGACCTGAATTTTTTTTCAGGAATGAGTTCCCGGGTAGCAATAAAAATTCCGCACAAGTGGAACAATCGATGATGAACCGACACGACCTCGAGGTTTCTGCAGCCGTGACTCAATCGATAGTGAGTATATCGATTTAATGGTGTTAACAATATAAATAATGAAATATTCGATTCCGAAGTGTGAAATAAAAAGCCATAATAAAACATTACGAATTAAACATATGAAAAGATAAAGTGGAATTCATGAGAATTCATGAGAATTTCCAACATTTTCATGAGTGAAATCAGAATGAATTTTAATAATCGCAATTTTTCTCTCAATTCTGCAAGATCCACTAAGACCCTCTGCCCCAGATAAATTATTCCTACTCATGCGAAGATTATTATCGCGTTATATAACTCTGAAAATTTTTTATTGCGCAATGATCAAGGGCAATTTATAATAATGCAGAAGAGGTAATTGTGTCGGTGAGGTCTAGGGAGAAAAGTCATTCCCCACACGATACAATAAATCATAATTGTCCACTCGTGATAAAAACCTTTAGCCTTCTTCACAGGTAAATTAAATAATCCCACAGAATATATACAAGACTGGTAGAAATAAATAATTGTTTTCCCCAAGGGATTTTACTTGGGGAAAAAAAATCATTTGCCAAAAGAATTTTCTCTTAATGGTAATAATAAATATAAAAAGAAGAGAATCCAGTCCTCAGATAATGAAAAATATTTTTACGTCATGAATGAATGAAATATTTTTACGTCATGAATGAATGAATCATGAATTATTCATTAATGATTAATTATTGGGGACTTTTGCACTCACCACTCCCCAAATCGTCAGATACTTGAGCTGTCCGGGATCAAATTTTTTGAACCGATGGGCCAGTAACGGTATGTCCATATTAAAAAATGCCTGATACAATGTGAAACTGTAGGCGGAAAATGCCGTTAAGTGGAATAAATTCATTAGAGTTCCCATTTTTATCTGCAATTGAAAAATAAAAGTAAGTGTTAATAAACAATCGTAATTCCATTATTTGAATTATTATTAAACATAATTTTATAATATAAAGATCAATAATAATAATCATTAGTTATAATCGTTAAAAAAATTATCATTATGAAATAATAATATTGTAATTAATATTTTATTAAGACTTAAAAAAAAAATTAAAAATAATGTTTTGAGGACTAAAAAATGAATTGTAATTGTTGAAATGTCGGGTTTTGGTGAAAGTTAATTAGATTCACTGATAGGTTGTGAGACTGCAGTTGTCTGGAGTGAAACTTGACCACTAGCTTGAAAACTGAATTTGAGACCTTGACAGATTTCTCAAGGAAAACCGGTTTTCATCGAGAATTCACCGATCACTCTTCGACAATATTAGATACAATGCTGTAATGAACTGCAATTCAATTTGATTCGAGGGCTCTCATTCACTGGCCAACAGTCTGCCAACGCAATCATTCGCAAACTGACGCCTCCGATTGCTCACTCTGTCCCTCGTATCGGTTATCCTATCTGTTTATTTGTTTCAATTTATTTTTCACTTGGTATTCGCCTTCGATATCACGGCCAGACGGCGATTACTGCAGGTCAATGAAATGATTAAATTGCCATTAAGTTTTTGCGAATTTTTATTGAGAAATCGAAATCGGGAAGTCGTTCTAGATCAGCGAAATTTTCTACTTTCGCTTGAGGCCGATTTATCTGGAAGGTATCGGGTTTAGACAGAAATGTCAAAAGACCGTTTTTCTCGGGAATTGAATCAGCTAGAAAAAAGTTATTTAATGTTTTTTTCTCGGGGTGAGGGCTTTCGAGATAAATTATTGTGAGAGCTATTTTTAGAAATCCGGAATCATCACCGGGAAGTTATTGATATTAATCGATTGATCGAGTGATTACGTTGGTGTTGATTGTTCTTATCAGTCAATGTCAATTGAACGATTTTTTATCTCCGTATAATGAATGATTCTCAAAAAATGGTGATTAAAGTTTTAATAGTAGTTTTAGGATTTATTTTGATTGGAATTTGTAATGAAAATTATTGACAGAAAATATAAAAACATGTTAAATAGTCAATGATAAACTCAAACCGTCGCTCGTTACCGCAATGAATATTTCTAATCAATACCGGGAATTAAGTTGGATGAGTTGACAACTACTCCCCAACCATTTGACAACAGATCAGCTGTTAGATAACAACAGTCATCCATAATAAAAACTAAACCGAATAAAAACAAGAGGAAAAATAATAAAAAATTTACATAAAAAGTGCGCAAAAATACGGAAACATCAAGTGAATGTGTCAGCTCTTAAAAAAAACTGTTTCCACGAGAAGCTAAATTTATTCTGATGATTTGCAATAATGTCTTCAATGTTAATGAAAAAAAATACAGTGTAAGGATAAAATAAAAAAAAATGATTGATAATTAAAATGAGAATTGAAATGGCAATATTTCGGGGTAATTTTTATGAGATAATGAAGAAAAATACGAAAATTGGGATTGAATTTCTGATTGTTATTATTATTCCCAGAATATCGGGAAAAATGGAACGGAAATTGAGAGTTCCGTTGGAATTCACAATTTTCTCGTCAAAAATTCCAGGGGAATCGAATAAAATTTACTCACCTCGAGTGATTTCCAATTGGCATCCCCAGAGACGACTGGAATTTCTCCAGGAATTCAATTGCTGGAGTGACGATTAATAGATGATGCTGTGACGAAGTCAGAAAGACGACTGACTAAATCAGGAAATTCACCATCGGCGGATGAATTCCGTTATCGCGTCGGTTTCAGCGCCCCTCTTCGGTATTTTACGGTGGCACATGTTATCATCGCCATTTTTTTATCGACGAAATAGTTATCGGATAACAACGGAAATAAATTCCATTGGTCTTCATCCGGAGACAATTAAAACAGAAATTCCTCATTCCCAGAATCAAACAGAAAATTTTATTTAAACATTCTCAATTAACAATACCCATTAAAAAATTGAAAGTTAATTATGCGATGAAAAAGGGAAGTCATTATTTATACAAAATAAATCCCTTTGAACTCGAAATAAATCTTGGCTCGAATTTTTGAATTAACAAAAATGCGCGCGAAAAAAATTTAAAATTTATTGCGATTTTTGTCTTGTTAATGACTTTTTGCGAAATTATTAACAATATTTATTGGGATTTGTGTTTATCTCGGTTATTTATATTTATTTTTGCTATCGGATTGAGTTCATGGGTGAAATCTAATTGAATTCGATAATCTCAATTAATTCTCGTGGATTTGACGCACATCGGGGCCTTAATTATTCCACAAAATCGATAGAATTAAGTTGTTTAGTCACAAGTATTTTATTTTTCAGCCTTGACTCAATCGTGAATAACAACAAGTATTTAATTAGATAAATGAGATTCTATGACGCAGTGAATTAAAATTAAAAATCAAATCTGCTTTATATCTTTAAATATTCAATCAAATGTATTTGTTATTTAATAATCAAAGATAGCCAAACACAAACAAATATTGAACCAACAATAAAAAATAAAAACGACAATAAATTTTCATAGCAATTAATTCTTCTCAGAGTTAATTAATATTCTCTGATCAATTATGAATATTCCCAATGAATAATTCATACAACAAATCAATAATAAATAAGCAACAAATAATAATTGCTGGGTAAATATAATAATTTATTACAATTCAATCAATGCACTTCGCATTATTCATTAATTATTTAAAAAAAAAAAAAAATACCTGCCACCCCTCCTGGTAATTATTGCAATTGAAATCTAATTAGCATTGGGATTAGGAACAAGTGGTTCATCTTGATATTGGGGAATCTTCATTCTCCATGCCTGACAGTGCAGCAGATTACCCACAGGTACGATCTCTACTTCCGCCGATTTTTATTGCCTCCAACGGCCTCTCCTGGAGCTCCTGCCAACTCCACAATCACTCCGCGATCTGTAATCAACAATGAATTAAATTGAATATAATAACATTGACATTAAACCGCGCAATTGCAATCCACTCCCTCCACTGGAGGATTAATTGATATTCAATTGCGCTACAGGTGAAAATCGAATCGATTGGTACAGTAAATATTTTCATTTAAAATAAACAGCGATGATCACTGGAATTAAATAATAACGTAATTGAAAATAAATAAAATGGGGGAATTGTTATTGTGTGGGAGAAAGCCATGGGGGTTTTTATTTTTGGGTTTATTATAAAAAAAAATTTATTGCAGTGCGAAATTTATTAATTAATCTATATTACTCTGATTAATTGAATAATTCATTTATTTATTCATTCATAATGATAAAACTGTGAATAATTATAAATTTATAAATTATAAATATAAATTATAATATATTCACGTAAATGAAAAAATTGAAAAGGAGGAATTTGGCGTTTTTTAAATTAGAGTTTTATAGGTAATACCTGATAATTGTTTTGTTTTTAAAAATATGGAAATTAAAAAATGGAAAGGCGCAAATTAGTGGGAGTGAATGTAAAATTTTTACTCGAATGCATCGTCATGAATAGAGTACGTGGAAGTGGTGGTGGGTTTGGAGGCAGTTACTCAGCAAGACTCGCATCAGTCGCTGTAAACTTATGTACGCGATCACAACTACTTGCAATGTACCCATTCTATATCTACCAAAACGTCAGGTAAAACAAAGTGTCCAAGTTCTCCGAGTTATCTAATCCTGGATATAACAATTGTAACGACAAGGTAATTTAGCCATTTCCATTTGCCCTAGAAAACCGCGAGTTCCTGTCCGTCTCTATCCGTTGATGAAGACCGTTTGTCATATTTTTACTGCGGAATTCATTGTTCAATTTATTTTTTTCCGTTTTTCAGGGAAAGGACCTTTTTTTTTTTCATTTTTCCAACCGTTTTTTTAAGTGGAATGGGAGAACTATTGTTCGTCTATTGTTCATTGTCGGTAATTGGAACTCGAACATCTGGGGACCGGTGATGATAACAAAGAAAACAACTGGAATTACGTACGTGAATAAGTACGTAATTCATCGAAAAAAATCGATGGATTCGCGTGGGAAGTGTCGGCTGATAGAAATTTATTTTTTTTTTCGAGAATAGGGCAGTCCTGATTTTTTTTTGTCACCAGGAGAGAATGGAGGTGCTCCAGGTGCTCTAATTCAATTTCAAGCATGAGAATCGTCTTGAATTATAAGATTATTATTCAACAAATGACCTTGAATATCCGATCTATTGAAAATGGAATTGTATTTGACGATGAGTAAAAAATTCAAGATTTCATTGATAAATTCATGATTGTTTAAAACGAAAAAATAATTTCTCTTGAATTTTCAAGATTAATAATAAATTCAGTGAACGTTTTTTATTGAAATTCAATTCAATCCTGCGTTATTGAAAATTCAGATGAAATCTCGAGAAATTTTTAACTGCGAAGCAAGGATTATTTTCTCTCTGTGCACTGCGGAATGCATTGAGAAAATAATTTATTTTTCCCAAGAATATTAATAATAATTCCCGATATATTTTTGATATTCAGTAAAAAATATATTTTTGAAAGGTATCCCTCCAGATCGGTAATCCCCAGGTGCTCCACAATCGATTCCAATCATGAGAATTATCTCGAATTATGAGATCATTATTCAATAGTTTAAAAAATATAAATCCCCGGGTGCGATCGATTTTTTTATAATCTTCTCTCAAGGTTTCGCTCCTTCCTCAAGGTCTTGACGAAAAGATTTTTTCTCTCTTCTGATAACAATTTTTATTGACGGGGATCAATACTTTATCTCGGTGAATTGACAGCGGAAATTGAAAATTGGATTTCGATTGAACTGGAGTTCGATTGAACCCTCCCCCAGCGAAAAAAATAATGATAAATATCTAAATAACTCATCTATTGATTTTCTACTTCGATACCGATCATCTGAAATGATCGTTCCTTTTTTAAGAATGACTCATCGATTGATTGATCTTTCCCGACGTTTCCCGATACTAATTTTATGAAAATTATTAATTTAGAAATCGGTAATGCTTCCTTTTGGGAAGAAAACCGCGATTTTTTTCATCACATGTTTTAATACATGTCGGGGTGACTCAGAATGCATTGTGCGGTGACAACAACCTGTCGATAGTACTGTATATTCTCGGTACATGTACATCCGACCATTCAAATACACTTGGGCAAGAGAATGTTTGTGGAACGATCAATATAATCGTAACTTCCGTTTTCAAGCGCAAAAGACTGACCAGTTGTGGCAATTGCCAACTTTTTACCATCCGTTTTGAAATAAAACATTCTGCCCTCGATTTCCTCTTCATTTCGCCACAGTATTTTCACTTGTTTAAAAATCGTGAAATACACGTTACGATATTGTCCAATTATCTGGAATTGTTGTTAATAACTCGACTCGTCGAATTAAATTTTTTTCGTCGAAAAAAAAACGCGCATATTTCCGGATTGAAGGGAGATAGGGATATTTTTATAATAACATTTTTTGTAGCTCTTACTTTTCTCTGTAAAAAAGGTGGAATCGAAAATTTTGCTATCTCCGTTGTATTCTGAGATATTCGGAAAAGATCGGTATGGAAAAAAAACGCACTTCTCCCAGTTCGTTGGGGATTTTACATTAGACTGGTTTTATCAACGTCCGGTAATGACTGGAATTGATAATATGTTGAAATTCATTTGATGGTATAATAATATTAAGATTATTATAAAGCGTGACGGAATGTAATATTTTTCTTTCCGTCAGGAAGAGTGCGATAATGTGTGGGTAAAGGAGAAATCAAATGACTTTGTTCTATGACGCCGATTGCACAAGTTTTTTCAATTTCGTAACCATGAAAGTGATAATTAAATCGCGCTGCATGTAATCGCTGGTATAGCTATTGAACTTTTCACTGATCGTCGACATTTATCAAATGTTCAGTAACTATTTCACTTCATGTGAACGTTCTCTTATCACTCCGTTCAATCACACCATAAAATCGGTTGAAAATCGGTTGAAAAATCGGTTGATTATTTTGCCGATTTTCGATCTTGAAATGTTTAGCGCACCTCCAAATGTCAATAATTCGAATAATTATCGGGAGTAATTTTTAATATTTATTCTCTGCGGATATCACGGTGGATAAATAAATTATGCAATCGAGGAATTGATAGCGATATGATTGGAAGGGCCTCACCAGAAATGGTTTTGCAATAAATGCACAGGATATAAAGTTCGAGTTGCGGCTGAGTCATTCGATGATCCTTTTTTTTTTCTTTTTGATTATTTTTCAACGATAAAACCCGTCGTATATGGCTTTCTCTTTGGTTTCGAGGCTTTTTTTTTTGCATCGTCACGCCAAGACAGGTTTCAGGAAAATCGATAGATTTGTCATGGAGTTTTCCCAGAGCATTTCGTGTTCTTTGTTCTCTTATCGGAAATCGATTGATATTATTGAACTATGAAATTACGTATTAAAAAATTGGGACACCCGATTCACTCGAATAATTTCCCAGAATTTCTCTTTCGCTATTTTAAATAAATGGAAATCCAATATTCAATTAATGAAATCTCATAAAATCTGAAATTAATAGATCCCGATTTTTTAAAAACAATTTCATTGATGACTTGAAAAACCTGTTACCTGCAATTGAAAAATAAATTCGAAAAATTATTTATAATATCCCTTTAAGTTCCAAAAATGGTTCAAATAATATTTCGCTGAAGTGGATTCGAAGACCGGCGCAGCCTCGAGTTAACGGTTTTCTTTTTCTCCACCTGAAATAAAAAGAAATAAAAATATTCTTCTCACTCCTCAGACTAGTTTTGAGATTCCGTTTGGACTCGCGGTGAGTCATCCATGAAGGTATTATAAGGATACCTTGGAGATGCCTTCGGGGGGATTGATCCCAGAATGTGGACAATCGGTTGGAATCGGCTCATTGATTCTCTTTGTTCAGCTCATCCGATGCTTTCACTCGCAATAAATGATTCATGCTGATAAAAACAATAGGTTTTCATATACAATTTATGCCACCTCTTTTATTCCATTCGTTTTGATAACAAGTGCATTGTCAGAAAAACCATAAAATTACGTGGAAATGTTTGCGGTGGGAGATAACGTTTGGGAGCGGTCATATTTGCACTTGTGATAGACAGACATTTCCACCGGTTTTTTAGTGCAAAATAAAAAATTTCTATTTTTTTCATTCTTTTTTTTATTAAATATCAAATAAAAAATTCGTTATCTTTCATTTTTCCTCATTATCTAATAATTGAAATTAAAAATTCATCGAAATAATAATTATCTGTTATGCAATTAAAAAAATTGAACGATTATTAAATTAAAAATCGAATTGTTCGATAATTTTTTAAGTTAAATCGGTGAATTCCTTTGTTTTATTGTAGATATAAAATACCGAAAAAATGTCAGAATATTGTGAATACATGTGGGACCCAACACGCGGTCATGGAAGTGCAGAACTGGCCCGAAGTATTTACCAGGAAGAGGCCCGTCTCGAGGCAAAAGATAAAAAATTGGCAATAAAAACAGTCAGGGCAATCCTCCGAGAAATGCCAGGTGTAGGTAAGCATTTCAGGATTAATTACAATTCACGTAATTAAATTTTTTAATTCCTACTTCAATCTAATTAATTATTACCTAATTAAATAATTACCCGCTCTCATTACGAATGAAATTGATCGACTCTAAATGGAATTCAATACAATATTTTCACTTGGACGCAGAATGAACTTCAATGCCAATTAATTACTGGAATTACTCGGAATAATTTAATTTATGAATTTAAATTCCACTGTTGATTTTATCTCGCATGCATTTTCATGGGAATTATTTGGGATTTCTTTTTGTTGACTTGAGAATCAGTAATTCAGGCACGTGTCCTGATTTTCAACCGAGTATATCCTGTCTCCTCTACGTGAAGGGTTTACAATTATCCACATGAATAATTATTGTCATTATCATTCGATCAGACCTGAAGCCGTGTAACGACGAATACATAACGCGTTTCCTGCTGGCCCGGAAGTACCGGACAGAACAGGCGGCTGCACTGATTGGGGCTTATCAGGCCCAAATAGCACATCGTCAGGATATTTTTGGAAACCTCACAGCAAGGGACCCAGCACTCCAAAGGGCCCTCAGGGCAGGAATTCCAGGGGTTCTTCCAGCCCGTGACAGGTGTCAAATCAAAATCATCCCTTTAAAAATTCTCTCGCCAAGTGTTTTCCGTCAATTTTACGAAACTCAAGGAAAATAATGATTTTTTCATAAATATCTTTTTTGTAGCTCTCATCTTTTTCTAGAAAAAAATTCTTTTCACAAAATTCGCTATACCCTTCCAATTTCGAGGTATCGGCTGAAAACTGGCCTCGAAAAAAATGCAACCATTTTATTTCACCCCTTCGCACCAAAATTGAATCTCCAAGAATTTGAGAAATATCTCGAAATCCACCAGAGATACAGAAATTTTCATAATAACCATTTCCCCGCGTCTCATTCCGCTCCGCAAAAAATGTTCCTATAAAAATTTTGCTATCTCCATTAGATTCCGAGATATTCTTCAAAGAGTGGATACCAAGTGGAACCAATGATTTGGTCATTGGAAATAACGATTTTTTCCGGCAAAAAATCACTAAAACCGTGTAATGAACAATAATAATAATTTCCAGGAAAGGAAGGTGTGTCCTGGTAATGTTGGCCTCTCAGTGGGATCCCATAGCGGTGCCAGCGTTGGCAGTGCAACGTGCAATTTTTCTTGTTCTCGAAACTCTTATTCAAGACCCACGTAATCAGGTAATTGCCCATAGTAAAGTGGCATTTTTGCAATTATAAAATTTACAGTGGAGTATTATTTTATTGTCCAGCAATGCGGATTCGTGATTGTGGTTGACTGGTGTAACTTCACACTGAGACAAGGAAGTGCACTCGGTGCAGCTGCACTTCGTAATTTGATAGCAGCACTTCGAGGACGATTTCCTGCTAGATTCAAAGGGATTCATTTTTTATCAGCACCCCTCTACGTGCAGGCCACCCTCGCCCTCGTCAAGCCCTTCCTCGACGAGAAAACCCGCCACAAGGTGGATTAATTAATTATTCCTTCTGTCATTTACAATTAAATTTGACAATTAAATTTTAAAATTCGCTTTTCCAGATTTATCTTCATGGAAATAATCTCAGTACTCTGCACGAGCACCTGCCAACGGATATTTTGCCAGCAGAACTAGGTGGTACTGGTCCCTCGTTCAATCCTGGTCTCTGGGCAGAGCCAGTGATCCATTCAGCAATGAAAGAGGCAGAGCTAGCAGCTCTGAAGAAAGATCCAGCAGCTGGAGAAATAAAAGAGTCGATTAATGAGCGACAGAATGAAGAGACAATCACCGAGAGCACCATAAAAGGAGATAGTAAAAGTGACAGGCTGGAAATGTCTCTCGCCTCGGTCCACAAATCCTCGATAATTGATGATGAGAATAACAAGAACGTGGAGAACGTCAGGGGAAACTCCAGGAGGCAGACCAATGAAATTAAAATTCATGGAGAGACTACTCTGGATAACTCCAGGGTGAGGATCTATCGGGATGAGTATCTCCCCAGGGGCAAGTCTGAATCCGATATCGAGTGTCTCGATCCACCCTCTGAGACCAATTCTAATGAGTTCGAGATGATCTCTAGTCATCTTGAGAGTGAGGACAGCAGGGATAATTCTCTGGACAGCCTCAGGGCTGATAGGGCCAGGGGTAGCAAGGAAAAACTTCCTGAGGAAACGAATCTCATTACTTGAGGGTTTTAGTTGGCTGGGAGCTGGGGCAATCAGCAACGAGGAGATGAACTGGGATGAGTTCAATGTTCAATAAAAAATCCTTTCAGGTTTTTGGCTGGGGTGGAAAAAATTTGGAAAAAAAATTGATAATCCACTTGTCCCATTTCATAATTTCGCTACTGAAATGGTTATATTTATATTTCATTTCGATTGCTTTTGAAAAATGAAATTCTGGAATTGCTACCGAATTTTTCCAGAAATTCTCTTTCTATTCAATTTTTTCGTACGTTTTATTATTTTTCTGTGATCAAGTGTCGATAAAACTGGGACTAATTCGATGCTATTTCGAGGCTTCCGTCAATTTTTCTTGAAGGCAGAGATGTCTTGACTTTTTAGCGATAAAAAATGCTGGGAAAAATTATTATGCGAAAGGATCATCTCATCATTCATTAATTAACATTTCATTCGAAGATATTTCATTTCTACTGAATATTCACTCGAATTCCATTGAAATTCGCGCGGAAAATCCTGTACTAAAAATTTTCCAATTTTTCCAGAAAAATTGTTTCTACGATTTTTTAACTGATAGAACCCTGAGGGAATAATTTATGTAAAAAATAAAAATCTATCAACAGTTCTCTTACCTTTCAATTAAAACTTCCTGGGCACGTGTCAGAACAATAAACAAATAATCCCCAAAAAATCGTATTTTGCAATAAAAAAAATCGTCTAATCAATACAAAAATTGTATTTTCACATGAAAAAATTGACATTTCACACAACAAACAGTATAAATTTTATAAACACTTTAACAATGGTTTAGAAATAGAAATTCTCGGTAAATTTGTCAAAATAAATGGTAAAAAAAAATATTATCCATCATGAGAATGACAAACAGGCAAGATATAAATTATCACGAAGACATGGATAAGTTCGGAATGAGTAGCAATAGCTATTTATCATGCAGTTGGTATTTGCCAACCACCGAAGGCACGTTCGATCTCCTCGGCAACAGCTAGGCTCAGATGATCCTGATAAGGGCCAGCAATCACCTGAATACCCACTGGTAATCCATTGCTCATACCCAGAGGACAAGCAGTTGCTGGAAATCCCAGGACATTTATTACCGCAGTGTAAGCAAAATTGAAGGGTTTCACCAGAGGCTCATGATGTAAAGGAGCTGGTGTGGGATGAGTTGGATACAGAAATACCCCATCTGTACCCAGAAGATCCTATGAATAATTGCCAGCAATAAAATAATTATCCGTGCAATTGCAATCCACCAAAATGTAATAAACTAGAATAATTAGTGAATATTTTAATGAGAATTACCGAAAGCTCTCTCCTGAGGTCCTTGCTCTCATCCAGAAGCTGTACCCTCTTGGAGTCATTGAACCTCATGCTCAATCCCTCGAAAGCAGCAGTAAAAATGGCTACAAAAGTGTGAGATCCAGTGCGTGTCAGCCACTTAATAAATTCCCACCAAATACTGATGCGTCCTTTTCTATCGGATAACTCCCAGGCGAAGTCCATACCCTCCGGGGACGTCATATTGGCAAACCACAAAGCAAGACCCTTCTTGAATTTTTTTATCTTAATTTTCTCGGCTTTTACCTTGTGAGCGATCTCCAGGGTGTAGATGAATTTCGCCATCGCAGACCTGATGTCCTTGGAGACCTGGGACACCAGGAATTGACCGCCATCGTCTTCCATGTAGTAAAACTGCGAAAAATCCACAATTCCGAAATAGAAAAAAATTGCAATTGCATTTTATTGAAACGGATTTGAATTGTTTTAATTATTTTAATCAAAACGGATGCCTACTTTGAGTTTTGAAAGATCGACTTTAGCATCGAGATTGAGTTTATCAATATTTTTCCCAGCCAGAATCTTGAGAATAGGTTTCATATCAGTGGCGAATCGACACATGGGCCCAATCGCTAGTAAATGCTTTTGCTCATCGGTTTGGGCATTGGGATACTGTCCATCATTGGAGACAATTCCATTGGTCGGTTTGTGGCCGAATATTCCATTGAAGAAACAGGGCATCCTGATGGAGCCGCCGATGTCAGAGCCAATGCCAAAAGGTGCACCAGCTGCTGCCTGAATGCATCCCTCGCCCCCAGAGGAACCACCGACGATGTGCCAGGTGTTGTAAGGATTTCTTGTTGTTCCGTATACCAAATTACTCGATTCCCACCACATCGCAAGCTCTGAAACATTCGTCGTAGCGATGAGGATTGCACCAGCTTTTTTCATCGAGGCGATTGCCTCCGCATCTCGATCACAACGGGTGTTTCTCCTCAAGAATAATCCAGCTGTTTGCTTCATCTGGGCAACCCCGATGCAATCCTTCGTTGTGAAGGGAATCCCAAAAAATGGTTTGCTTTTTTCTAAATCTGCGGCAGACGGTGCATCCGGGGAGTTCAATAATTCATCGCACCTTCTCGCCTCTTCCAGGGCTCCTTTGAACCTGTCCTCCGCCACAAAATTCAGGATCGGTTGAACGGCCTCGATCCTCTCGATGTACGCCTTCATCACGTCCTCACACTTCAGCTGCAATTCAATTATTTATTCATATCGATAAAAAAACAAATTATTCCCCAGCGAAAAATTATAATCGATAAAAATGGAAATTTATCTGTTAGAGTTGACAATTTCAATACTGAAATATTAATATACTCACTTTTCTCTGGCGTATCATCATGGCTAGGGCTTGAGTGCTGTGCATTATTATGTTATTATTTATCGGCGGGAGAACTTCCGGTTTGCCAGTGATTTCCGCTGCTGTGAGGAATATCCATCGCGCTAGGAATTCGATAAATCGATGGACTATCGAGGCGATTCTTCCCACAAGCTTCAACATACTTTTGTCCATTTTAGTCTTCGGGTTTTCCCGTCAACTGACCTATCGGAACATATAATTATGTCAATAATTGATTGGGATACCACGAAGTGCTCTGCTATTCTCGATTTTGCGATAGCTTCGAGGGATCAATAATGGATTTTTTGCAATAAAAAAGACGTTCATTGCAATAAAAAAAGATAACTCCATTGTAAGACTCTTCATGATTTATTCAATGATCTCAAAGTCAAATTTCATTTTAAAAATTACCCCGCATAATGCAAATGCTAATTCAATGATAGCATGTGGTAAATTGAGATGGAGAAAATTTTCAATTGTTCTTGAAAATCGATTTATCTCGGGAGCTATTGTTTCAATGTAAAAAGACTGAAGGACTTTTTTTTAGCCGACGAAATACCCGACAAAAAAGGTCGTATGAAATTTACTCCGAAATCAATAGTTTGCGCGTGAATTTATTTAAAATATAAAAAAAAAATGATTAAACTCGTCTTTCAAAATTCCAAGGTTTCATATCACTATTGTTTAATTGAATAATATATTTAAAAGACTCAAATAATTATTTTATAGTATTTTCTATTCGTAGTGATGAGTGTTAAATATAAAATTTTTTTATTGCCATTTACATAACATTTATGCTGTCGTAGGGGGCTGTCTACGGGGACTTTCCGGTTACCTGTTTTGTTTGATTTGTCATCAGCTCTGAAGATAATTACGAAACACCGGAGATTTATTTTTTTAGCTGAGACTTCAGAAAAATTCCACATATGTTTTTTATATAATTAAACAGATTGATGAATCATCGTCGAAATGTCGGGGGATTAATTGGATTGCTATCAGTCGAGGTCAGGCATTAATGTTTAAATAAGTATTGATTACGTACTGCTATTGATCGATTGTCTAGCCAGAAAAGTCTATCCTGTGGAGGAAATATAAATACATTACCATATCTTGTCGCTTATTATTTTTTTAATTATCCATTTATCGTGAAAACTATAAATTTAAAATAGAAATGATAAAGAACTTTTTTGTAGCTCATTAAATTTTCGATGGAAAAGGTCTATTGATATTTCTTCCTAAAACCAATAGGTCCCCGAATAATCGGTATGAAAACTCGAATTCGTCTCGAACCCTCCATGGGTGAATTCGAACTGACACTGACGTGCCCTTCCCCAGTAATTTCCGGAGTAATTGTCAGGTGGTTTGTAAATAAATAACGGCTTATCACCGAGGCGAGAGCTGATAAGTTTCGAGTAAAAATTCCGTGTGCAGAAATGAGAAGTCGCGTCGAAAGTCACGGGAATGTGGATAATCCAGACAGAATGGGATGGAATTTTTCCAGTAATGATTTGCACGTGCACGTCAATCAATCCATTGAGTACTCACGAATGGATAAATCAGCTGATTTCTCAGGAATTCCTACTGGGACACTTGCGCCGATAGTTATCGGGTGATAACAGTGAAATGATAATGATAACGAGGAATTCGATGGGACGTCATCCAGACGATTTTAATCGAGAGTCGGTCGATGCAATCGGGCGCAAAGACAATTCGCGACTGAAGCATTTGCAATTCACCTACGCTGGAGACGGTTCGATGATGCCGCCTGTAGAGAGCACTACTACAATCAGTTTTATTTATTTATTATAGCAATAAACATTTTTTTTAATTCAGTGAAAATTCTCGGAATTTTATTTGAAAAAAAAATTTTCGAAATTTCTCGTTGAACATACGGTTTAATAAAAAAATAAAATCTGTAAGTTTATTATTTATTTATTAGTACTATTGTTCGTTATTTATTCATAGATTTATCCATTTATTATTTGAATTTCATTTGAAAAAAATTTGATAAAAAAATTTTTTCCATGGAATGACGAAAATAAATATAATAAATTCAATTAAATTTGGATGTTCAATTAAAATGTTGTATTCGATTCCCTAATTTTATAAAAAATATTATCCAGTATAAATAAATGATTTATGGAAGAGATGGAAGTGTTCCTGACAAAATATTGAAAAATACTGAAAGAGAATTCCCTGAAAAAATTCCACGAAGAATTTCCCCAATAAAAAAATCCAATAATTTTAATTAAAAATTCGCGTACCTGATTTGATGAATACGCAAGTACTGGTGTCAGTGTCGGTGTTTCCCCCAGTGATTGACCTTGTGTTCGTGTGTAACTATTGAAGAAATCGCACTTTCAATTGGTGTCCACTTGTCTCTGATTAATCCCCTGAAAAGACCTCGACTTATTTAATCACCGAGTACTTGTCACCGGACAATCACCACCGACCGTAAGTTCGAGATATTATTCTCCCACAAGTCATGAAGCGTTGAGGTTATGAGTCTCGATTCAAATGTTTGTTATAAATTAATTCGTGGATTCCGGGAACGCCAGGGGAAATCGAGAAGGAGCGGGGGAATTAATCAGCTGATCTAGAGTATATCCCAGTGCACCTCAAACTTTCGAAAAAGTCATTAAACAATAAAATTGTATATTACCATGACTAGATCTAGATTATTATATTTAATTGTCCATTAAATTGTGGAATATTCATTCAATGAGAATTTAATTGATAATCGGAATTATGAAATTGAATAATTTTGGGTCAACGAAATATTTTCATTTTGACGTCGGGCAATTGGAATTGATTGATTATTATATAACTGTATATTATGTTTAAGATAATTAATGAATAATATAGAAACAGGAAGAATTGTAATCGGAGGTTAATAACGATTATGGGTAATAAAATCGGTATCTTGGAATTATTGATTCACTCGAGAAATGGGGAAATAGGGGATTTATCCGATATCTTTCGATCAAACGATACGATCCGTCTGAATTAAATCTCATTTTGAAGATTAAAAAAATACCCTCGAAATGAAATAAAAATTGTGAAATTTCACTCAGTAGTTCTTGAGATATCGCGGATTGAACAATTTTTAGTCTTCCAAATCCGCTCGGAACTCCCGCCACATCAACCACAGCGCCATTTTGTCAATGAGAATATAGGTCAATCGAGAAGGGAATCCCAAAGTGCCCGAGAGGTGCCGCCGTCTCCTGGGGATTCTCCGAACGAATTTCAAATATTTTTTTTTCATTAGGTTCCAATTTTTCTGGAAAAATAATTGAATGCATTCATCGAAAATCCTGATAACAATTATTTATGTAATCATCAGATTTTTTTTCTACAGAGTTCTTGGAGTTGTCAGTTAGTGGTGATAATGGAGGCTACAGGGAGTCATCAACGTCCTGAGAATTCAAAAAATGACGAGACAGTGGAAATTAAGGGAGTGAATATAAAAAATTCGTCATCATCAGTGAATTCCCTGGGGAAAGCCTCCAGTTTAGTCCCAATTAGTGTCTCTCGGGTGAAACAAATGTCTGGAACACTCGAACCGATGAAAAGTGCGACAGGAAGTGGATCAGCCACTGGTAAGTCTTCATAATTTATTTAATCCATTTTATAATTAAATAAAATGCGTAAAGATTGAATTAAAAAAGATATCGATTTAATTATTTTTCAAATGAATTTACCGGTTATCGATGATTACTGTAATCGTAAAGTTCTTGACTGATTTTGATGGAATTTCCAAAAGCGATCGATTCCAAGATCGATTTTACCGTTTTTCCGCTCTTGTAAAGAACCGATTTTTCCATTGAATGGTTCACTGAATTGATATTTCCCTTCCAAACTTGCCGAAATTACGAGATAAAGCCCAGAGTCAATTTGAAGTTGATACCACTTTGAAAGGGGATTAACTATATTATTTCGTCGAGTCCTCCCGGAAATTGGTTTGAAATTTGAATGGAGAGATCGGCAAACGTGCGCATTGTTTGAATTTGAATCGACGAGGTACAATGGTCTGAAATTTCCATATGCCGATAACGAGAGAATATTCAACAACATGACCATCACCTGCCCGGAATTTCCATCGACTCGGACACAACCAGATAGAACAAATATCGATGTCCAGATAAAAAATAAAAATTGTTGGAATACCGGGGAAATGGTGTCACCAGGACTTCGTGGCATGCGACATGCTAGTGTCTCAAGTTTAAATACACGAGAATGTCGTGGAGAATGTCGAACACTTGTTGCCCTGTCTCCCAAAAATTCAACAGGTCCCAAACCCTTGAAATGACTCGCGTGTTGAATCGTTATTGTCTCATTCCGTTTTCCCACTCGCAAATCCCTAATTCGGTAATTAAACTCACGATTGATCGATAATCAGAGGAAGAGATAAGGCGTGATAACAGATAAATGGGAAATTGCAGAAATTTATCACTTGAATAAAATACTGAAATTAAAATCCATTGACTTTCGATCATCAGATATTTGTTAATTAAATGATGGAATTAATGAAGTGGCAGGAATTCTCAGGGAAATGATCCGGAGATTGAAGAATTTTTTAACGAAATCGAGGTTTTACGGAATTCATCACCTCGTGATAAAATTCCCTCAGAAATATCACCTGCAGATATTCTCAGAGAATTGAAATGATTTCCTCCTCTGTAACCCCATTACGAATCCATTTCCGTCCCCATCAAAACCAGAAGATCCTTTCCTTCATTTTTTCCACGTCGTCTCACTCATGAAAGACAAGTTCTATTCGATGTTAAAAAAATAATAAACAATAATATATAATAAACTTTATTATTTTATTGTAACCATTAAAAATTTTTTAATCCATGGGATTCGTCCAAATCATGAATTCAAATGATTTAATTATATAAGTGTAATTAATTATGTCAATCAATGTTAGACTGTGGTGACTGAATTTTTACAGTGAAAATATCAGAGTGAATTGCATCTTGGAAATAACGAAAAGTGGGCGTAAGGGAGAGTTGGCTGGAAAGGTCCTGCGTGTTGGGCGAGTACAGGCGGCCAACTATATTGATCTATCTGTCTCTCACTGGGTGTATATTGGTACCGCGTGTTCTGACGACCCAGTGCCACAGTACATTCACCAATTCTCGCGAGCGGAAGTCCCCGTGTAAACATTGTTTCGTCAAACAATTTTTTTCTTTATATCGATTTTATCCCAACACTCGGAATTTCGCGAACCGAATTCAATTGTGAAGTGGTTAAACGAAATTCATCGATTTTTACAGTGACGTTTTTTTGGGGGAATTTTATGGTTATTTGGGGAAATAAACGCGACTTTTCCTTTTTTTTTTAGAAGATATTTTGAGTTTTTTTATGTCAACTCTGGGATTTTTCGGGGAATAAACTAGATGAGAAGTGAAAATAGATTTTTCTAGTACCGATTTTTTGGGGGAATTATTTCAAGATATTTTACGGGTGTAATTGATTTTTCTTCATTTGAGAGATAAAAACAAAAATTATATTTATATATTTTAAATATTAATTCAATATTGAATTGCAGATAAAAAACAGAACTTTCAAATTTTCCATTCAAATAATTACAATCACCATGAATATTATATAATTAATATTGCTATTAATTTATACTGGAAGAAAAATTTCTGGAAAATTTTCCAAAAATATAGGGGTTCTCATCAGAACGTCAGGACAATTTGTCGGTATATTCTCTCACTTGTTCAGTGCTGATTAAAGTTTTTAATATCCGTATGTACCATTGGCTCCATTATTCCGGGACGCCGTAAACTCAAACAATAGAAATTCATTGTGTATGCTCTACAAATAGCCTAGGAATAGAATCAGGGGGGAATGAAAATTTAACCGCGAGAATTTTCACATGAGCAGTTGCTCCGACGAATGATTCCTGACTTTTCCATTATTACTTAATCCACCCCAGGAAAATCATTACGCAAATCCACCCCCACATTACAAAAAATAAATTACAATTCCCAAAATTTCCGTAATTTTTACATTGACGAGTCGATAAAAATCGTATGAGGAATTAAATTCCGCGCGTGTCGCGGGACAGTGAAAAATTAACGGTAGAATTGACTGAGATAAATAGCAACGAGATGATAATAATTACCTGACGATGCCTCGTTGCTGCGGGGCATCGCCGATCTCTGTGATGGATGGGGATGAATCACCGCAGAGTCTTGGACTTCACATTCAGGATGGTTTGTAAATTGCGGGCTAGAACATACTCATTAGGAAAATAATACCGGATGTGTCTCGGTTCCCTGCACTCGAGCTAATATACCCAAGTCCTCTGCGTTGGAACCAACTTCGAGTTCTGAGAACTTGCAAAGACTACCTCATGACAATATTCTCCATAAATCTATAACAATTTATATAAAAATTATATTGTTTTATAAAAATTATGTTAAAGTTTTAAATAGTCAGATATCCAGGAGAATTTTATTGTAGGATTTTCCTTTAGATTTCAAATAAAAAATTTTTATCACAAGTTTTTATGAACTTGAAGACTATCGATCGAATTACACTATAAAAAAAATCTGGGTTTTCGCCGTTCTCTTCAGGAAATCCGAGAAACAAAACGGCTTTGGCACCCGGCCACAGTCTCATGGACTGGATTCGTCTGGGTTCATCTGGAGTTGATCTCACTGGAGTTGGAGGTGTCAGCCAAGCTGTAACACTTGCAGAACTCGCCAAGCACAATCAGAGAAATGACGCCTGGATATCTATCCGAGGTTAGTCCATAATTGACAGAGACGAATTGACAAGAGCTGTCAAAACTCATCGCTTCACATAAAATCCAGTTACTGGATTTCGATTACAAATTCATAATTCAAAATTCAATAGAAAAATTCTGACATTTCTCCTATTGAATTTACAATTTTTACTCTTTATTTTATTTCGTTTATATATATTTTTTCTTTTTTGCTTCAGGCATTGTGTTCAATGTGACCCGATACATGGACTTTCATCCTGGTGGTATACCCGAGTTGATGAAGGGAGTGGGAAAGGACGCGACAAAAATTTTTGAAGACGTAAGTCAGTGGCAACAACTGAGGTTTGATCCTCATTAAGTGAATTAATCCGAGGGTAAATGTGAACTCTTGTATCCGTAGATCGTTCATTCCAGGTGCACGCGTGGGTTAATTACCAGAGTATTCTGCAGAAGTGTGTAGTGGGAAGGTTAATTAGAGGGAATGGAGTTGAAGAGACCAGTCCTTTTGGCAATGATAAAATTACTAAAATATCACCACTAGCCGCTGGGGGTGAGTTTCAACATTTTCTCTTCACCTCAAATAGCCTTTTTAAAATAATCCAAGGATTTTTTTCAACTTGCCCCTGTTGACGCTCCGCAAAATACCCAATTACACTATTTAACTGATCGCTTGGCTTGATACTTCCGCTCTAGTTCACAAAAATACACGAAAGGTCTCTGAATTTTCTGGTGAATCTCCACAGGAATGTTTCCCTGCTCCCGACTTAGTAGATTCTAGATTGTGCAATTTAATTATGAGATATTGCATCGGGTAATTGAGGATTAATTACAGCTAAAACTTCAGAGACTGCGAAAAAAACATCAACGACTCCAGTAAAAATTCAGAGCGACTGGAAGCAAACGACCAACACCGTGACCTTCGCCTACAAGCCATCGAGAGATCAAAAGTCTCCAATTTTCCAATTAATCCGTCACAGTGCCACAGAATTTTCCCTAAAAACCGTATTCTCCACTTCATCCATTACTCACGATTACGATCTAGACAATGGAGTCCAGTGGCCACCGACCTGGCGACGAGATTTCGAATCGATGGACGTCGAATTCACATTTACAAAGGCAACGGGAAAATTATGGAGCCATTACGGCAGCAGAACAGTCACCATTGATTCAAAAAATGACAGATGTTTCAGGGATTGGGAAGTCGTCAGCAACACATCACTCTGTCACTCCGTTAATCTCCTAGTTTTAAGATGCAGCGATTACATGGAACTCACACCAGTAGGCAGACATATAGAAGCCAAGATGAGTGTCCTAGGTAAACTCATTGCTCCAATTAAATCCCTCGAGAGTTCGTTTCATTTTTATTTATAAAAAATCCAACAACTGGCGATTTCAGGATTAAATAAATTTCTATTTTATCATTAGAAAGAGTGGAAGTGTAAAATGTGAAAGAGTTGATATATTGAATTTTCTATTCGGTTTTGTGTGACACTAGGTATGGAAATTTCAAGGCCTTACACACCAGTTCCACCTTCACTCCATCCTGATCACGAGGCACCTGGATACAAACCCAACAGCCTGTGTCTCATGATAAAACGATACGACGATGGCGCCCTAACTCCGTCCATAACAGCTCTTAAGCAAGGGCAGTGCCTGAGTTTGAGTAATAGTCTGGGTACCTTTGTGGCTGAATCCTTTGATGACTACACCGCCATTCATATGCTTGCCGCAGGCACAGGTTTAACACCAATGCTCGGTATTATTCATCGGTCACTGTGTCGGCGTTGTGTGTAAGTCGAGCTCGTTATTGAGAATTGAGTAATAATTCAGCAGTCGGTGTGATAAAAATTGTGGTAATGATATATCTGTTTCAGGAGATCGATAAATCTTATTTATTTCAATCGAAACGAGACGAGTATTTTCTATCGAGAGCAGTTGGACAGGGTCTGCGCTGATAATAGGTGAGTACTGTCCACGTTACTTAACACGATAATTACTTTTTTTTTTATTATTCTTCCAGATTAAATGTTGTCCACGTACTATCTCAGGCTGATGACGATTGGACTGGGAGACGTGGAATTGTCTCTGAGGATTTAATTAGAGATGTTATTGGCGAGTGTAACAAGCAGGCATGTGTCTTCACGTGCGGACCTGCAGGATTTATTACTGCTGCTAAAACGTGAGATGATGATTAGATGTTTCTCTTTGTTTTGACTATCTAGAAGCGAAGTGCTATTCAGAAATTGCTGGGTCTTTTGAGAGGTTTGGGGAGACATCAAAGGAGTTGTTCATTCTAGTTTTTCACTAAATAAATAAACATCGAGTCGAGACTGGAGACGCTTGACCTTTGGAGAAAGCATAGGGAAATAATAATTTAGCTTTGATGTTTTACGAATTGAATACTTCATCTCAAGGGTTGAGAGTAATTACTCGATTAATTGATTTATCCTTTTCAGGTCGCTATTGAAATTAGGCTGGCAGCCCTCTCAGATGCACAACTTCGACGGATAGTTTTAGCTTCACCGAAAGTACGAATTTGTCCAAGTACAACTCATCTGCGGATTAAACGACTGAAATTAATTAGTGATTTAGCTGGAATAATCTCCCGGTGACACATGCCTGAAAAATAATGGTGAAAGTAATTCTGTTTTAAATGTTGAATTGCTTCAACAGTAGAAGTGAGGAACATCTGCCAATCTCTCCATCTATCCTGATATATCCGTGATAAGTAGAGTACAAATAATTTTATCTTCCTTTTGGGTATCAACTCTCATCGGCATCATCGCTCATTACGTAATAGAATTTTAGATAATGTGATAAAGGGGATCGTCATCCGAATTTAAAACCCAGATTAATCCAGAAAGTTGTACAGGTGAATGTCTTTTTATGAATTTTCAGTGAATTAATTGAGAAGATCGATTGTACTGATATTTGCAGATTGATTCTATGTTAATTACGTCGAAGGCTATATTTATATGTAACTCGCACCTGAGATGAAGGAAATGTATATCTAGAATAAATTGATCATTTCGTTGATGCAAACTCATCGACTGGATTTTCACTCATTATAATTCCCTTTCTTAATTCTTCTAAAATAATTAATTCATTTCACTGCAATTGGAATTTATGTAAAAATACAAAAATTGTTTTTGGTTTGAATTGAAGATGAGGGCATATGAGACATCTCAAAATCGCACAGATTTAGATCTTTCACGTGTGAATCCAGAGAATTTTAATGGAATACACTGGTGGATTAATTGTTCAGTGGATTTTATCATTAATAATTCCCTCACCACATGAACGTCAGCTCAGAACTTCGATAATGCAAACTACAGCAAGAAGTGGAGTTAATTTTCCTGTGACCCGTGTCATTGGAGGTAAGTCTATTGATCGATCGGTGGACACTTTGTTAAAAACTTCCTTTCCCCATTCTATCATGTCTTCGTCATAAAACCAGACGGTGTGGACGGATTCCTGGCCATAACCCACTGACTTATAATTAATCTCCAGACGTCTAACATTTCTGGCAGTCGTGAATCCTCTCCTTTCATCACTGCATTATAGATCGCCATCTGCCACCGGGTGAAATTCAAAATAAAAATATTTGAAAAAATTTGTCTGGTAAATTTACACCTCGAGCTCTTTAAAAAATTCAGGAAAATGTCCCGATGTCGAGGGTTCACTTCTATTTTTGATAAATCGATTCGTCGGGCCACCGCAGAATTAAAACTGAAATAAACAAATCAAATTTTCAATTCGACCACTCAACCCTGCGGCTGACCGATCGCAGGGTGTTTTCACTTGGTTATCCCTTCACGTTTTTAATTCAATCTTCAAAATCACTAGAGAATGGGCGTCGAATAAAAAACAAACTAGTGGACCATTGAGTGGAAATGATGGAGGAATGATTTTTCTATTCGATTCTCGAAAATTGCCATTTATAAAATTTTCTGAAAGATATCCAACGTACATCCATAACATCCAATACAACCCTTATCACCTCGAGTAGACATCTACTGTACACGACTATAAACTCTCTCGATATATCACAAAAGCCGATATAATCCATAAAATTCCGGCAAAGGGGTTTACACTTTTACGACAGCACTGGAATATTATGCAACATTTTACCGTCAATGTATATCACGCGTTAATGCCGCCTTGGGTTGTAACTCGGGAATTATTTCCAATATTTACCCCTTGTGTACAGGACGAAGTAGTTAACGCCAAGTGTCAATAAATTCGGGGGGTTGTGGATTGATGGACGTGTTGTTTAGCTGTTGAGATTGCAGTCACTTCCTCAGTTGTTACATTCATGGCTCGTGAATTTCCCAGGACAATAACACCTGGTGCAGGCACCACGCCATATCTCGGAAAATCAGGGATTTTCAGAAGATCTAACGATTTTATTAATTACGGTTTATGATTTATTTATTACACCAAGAAATGGATTTTATAAACTAAATTTATCACAATGGATTGTATATTAATATTTTTTCAGTCTCCATTTTTTTTTATTCTGTAATTAAAAAGTTAATAACTAATTGATTGAGTTTAATTTAATTAAATTGATTTGTAGTCATGTATTTGTGGTTTTTTTAATAATTGTAAATAATTTGTAGAGTATTTTTGAATTGTAAAATTTCGTAAGTCGATTCTGGACTGTTAATAACGATTTTCTAACACCCAGGAGTGAAAAATTTTTTGCTATCTCGATTTATCGGTTCCGCCTTGAAAATAAATAAAAGATAATGGGAATTATTTTCACCGTTTGACAAGGGCCTTGACAGAAACGCCCGGAGATATTTATTGGTATCAAATGCGAGGCATCAATACTCCAACCCTGAGGAACGAATCGAGACTAAACGATTTGATATTTATTTTGCGAATATTAATTATTCAGAAGAGAAATCATCATTTATTATTCACAGTACCGCAATATAAAATTTTGAATATTAATTGCAAATTGGGATAAATAAAATAAAATCTTCCGGATATTTTTATATTATCCAGATCATTCACCCCCACGTGCGACTATAATAATAATAGTTTTAATGATTATATTATATAAATAAATAATTTATCCTGCGATAATGGGAAATTGTGGGAAATACTTGCTTGTCGGCGCATATATGTTCGATATATTTTTCCAGGGGATGGTGGGGGGCGAGGGGGGATGGTGAGACGATGGGGTGGGAGTTCGGGGAGGGGTTGAAGGGGGTTGCAGCGGTTGGAGGAGGGGAAATGGGGGAAGAAAGGCTAGGGATGCTACGGACATTTCTGCCTCCGTCAGTCGCGCGACGGCCCTCGCCCTGGCCAGTCGATCGAGCTGTCACATTAAATTAATTATCACTCCGGAACGAGTGCCGAGGCTCCACGAAATTCATGTGCAGACGAGTCCGAGGTGTACCATCGGAATTCATGGGTTTCCCGCTTTTTCTCCGGCGCTAGACTATTTTTACGCATCAAACATTTTTTTTTTACGACAAAGTGACTGCGAATTATTCACTGTAATTTGTTTTTTAATCTGTAATTTTTGTTTCTGTCAGGGAATAATCGACGGTTGGAAAATTCAATCGAGACAGAATGTTTATAGATTATTTAATAATTCGGGGGTTTAGTGGATTTTTTTTTTATTTCAATTATGGGGAGAATATTTTTTAATGAAGGAATTCACTCGGAATTATTTATTTAACCGATTTTAGATTGAATGGGATTTTTTAATCTTTTGGAAATAATTGTTTATCAGTGCATGTGATAATATTTAGGATATTGGATAATTTGACGTGTGATTTTTATTTTTACTTTGAATTTTAATTAAAGAGGAACAATTTTGAAATATCCGATATTTTCAGGGAAAAAATTCATTCGATAATTACCCCTTGAACGAGTGGCATTCGATATAAATCGATGATTGAGGAAAATGTGGGACTTAATTCGTTGAATGAATTTAATTGTGGGTTTAATTGACGGTAGTTTCAGGCTTTTGGGAATTGTTTTGGTTGTTTTGGGTGGAGGCACGATAAATTCACCGGCTATTTGTCGGAATGTAATCTCTATTTTCAAGTAATTTGCGGATTTCGGGGAAATAGCACTCTAAATTTTGGGTTGGTTTTGTCGCATGAGGTCGGACGTTTCGAGGGCTCGTTTTACCGGCCGTCTGTTCGATAAACCGCTGGTCACAAAGTAAATCGGTAAAACAACCAAAAATATTCGATTTATCGCGACTTTCGTCCGCATCCCAAGAATTCCACAAATAAATTTTCAATAAATCGTGATTGATTTTACAATTAACAAATATCAATATTAAAATTTCAACAAATATGCCCCTGATAAAATGGGCTGTCCCAATAAGTCCCAAAAAATCCCCACCCACTCCTCGTCCGTTTAATTTAAAATATTTCTAATGATCTTGAGTCGATAATTGACTCTCGTTTTTGTTGTTCAAAATTTTGTTGGTCCTGAAAAAAATTTATCAGTATCCCCCGAATTTTTTACTGCTATTTAATAAAACCCGATGAGCTCCCCGAAAACAGGGACAGGGGCATTAACTCGGACGATATCACATTCTCGATTTCATATTCGATGTGTTTTTCGAGTTTTATCTCTATTTTGTGCAAGTGCTTGACGTCTCAACGGGTTTTCATCAGTTTTACGGCTGCAATCTGGGTTTTAGTTGCTGCGGAAAAATCCACGGAGTGTCCACCATTATCCGGAGAGGGGGGAGGGGAATATTTTGTATTTTTTTTTGTTAAAGGTAAATATGTGAATCGAACACTTGCGCTTCGGGGCTTGTATCGGGATAGAAACGGACAAATGCATGGGGAATTGTGCAAACGGCCGGACACACGCGAATTAAATCGAGATAATTAGTAGAGGAGATTTTTGATCAGGCTGTGCCAATACGCGGATTGATTTAATTTTTATAATACTTTTTCTATTCTACCCCGGGGCCTAATCGGACGTTCTCCCTTGTGATTTTTTAATCGTCTTTTTATAATCATTAAAGAAGAAAATTTAATCGGGATAATTGAGGTGAATTATTTTATACCGTAACGATTGATTGATTGTCAATTAAATTTCTTGGTAACTAGAAACGAGAGGTATTTTTGGTAATTACGGTTATTTTGCGGGATATTTTCTCGGAATAGTTTTATAATTCCGGATATTTTTGGGATGACATTTTCCGGGCTTCTCAGAGAGATTGAAATTCTCCATCTCGTCAGGTCTTCAATATTCTTAATTAAAGAAAAAGAGGGAAAATTCATTGCATGTTTTTCTCTTTCATTCCCACGGGCTTTTTTATTCTAGAATCTATTGAACTTTTAAAGCTAGAAAAATAAATTAAAGAGAGGAATGAATGAGGTGAGTCGACAACTAGTGGAGAAAGGATATACTTGGATCAAGTATAAAGTATAATTGAATCGAGTACATAATTTTTATGTAATGGCTTAATTTGGAAATGTCACTTTTTCGTTTGGTAACACCACTCTGGGGTGTCGCGAATACTTTTCCGAGTTGTGGAAAAAAACCCTGGGGCATTTGTCCTCCATAACACTTCCTCCCTCTTTCGTCTCACCCTCTCTTCCATCACTCCCTCTCCCCATCAGGGATGAAAAAGAAAATACACACAGCCGCGGAGGGGAAAAAAAAATTTATAATCACCAAGTGCTGTAATTTCTCATCGCGATAACATTTTCGAGGCTAACCCTGCTTTACGATCCTCTCAAAAACTTTTCCATGCAAATTTATATTACCCTGGAATATTGTAGTTGTCGCTGTCATAATTTTTTCGTTCCTTCCGAATTGATGTTCCCCTCATGGATATTTTTCTCTTGATTGCTTCGTGAAATTTCACCTGGTGGTTTTTTTTTTTTACATTTTTCACCTGCGCCTCGTGTATTGATTTTAAATCAACGCGTACGCGAAAATCTGGATTTTTTTTATTTATATTCGTTTTTTTTTTATGTAGAGATAATTAAAAACGAACGGATACGTGAGTTTGTGTGCAGCCATCATCACCAGAGTGAAATATGCGAGGGGAATAGGAAAAAAAATGGAGACGGATGGAGAATAGTGTCGACGTGGACTTTATCAAGATTTAATGCATTTTCGATAAATCGCGGATTTTACACAAGGATCGAATGCATTTGAGAGGTAAATATACAAATCAAAATCATTGACTTGTTTATGGATTAATTTTTAATATCAAAAGAAGAAATAAAATCGATATCGAAATATATCGAAATGTATCGAAATATGTCGAACTATATCGAAATATATCGAAATAAATTCGATAATTAACCTAACCGGATAATGAACCGAAAATTTAATGAATAAACAAATGAAATCTCACGGAATAACTGAATGACTGATGAAAAGAAAATGATTATGTTTCTTAAATAAACACCAGTAAATTAATGGAGACGCGAAATCAAAAAACGGAAGAGAAATACCGGAGAATGACGGAGGGAGAAAAAATTACTCCGTTTATGTTGCATTGACAGAGGGGTGAACTCGTTAGAGGAAAAAAAAAAATGTGCGTTGGACAAATTGAATTACTGGTAGTTGCGTTTTGACTGTTCCATTTTGTACAACCGGAATTCACGAGTACCATGACATAAAATTGTTATTACCCCAGCGGCGAGGGAGGAAGGGGGGCAGTCGAATTTTTTGACAATTTGTCTACTCATCCACAGAAACCATAATATTATTTTTATTACTGGACTCCGAGAGGGAAAGGGATTGCAATTCGGAAACGTGTTTTGGTGAGCATTTGAAATCGTCAATTTTATGGCCCAACGGTTGGTGGATTATTCATGGGTTTTTCATCGAGGAGTTCATAGTCCCAATGTCTTCCACAAATCCCCGTAATTGCCGATTACAATTCCATGATTGATGTATCCGACAATAAATCCCGATTTCGGAATGTCTAATTGATAAATTGGAAAAAATAAATAAATAAATAGCAGTCGAAAATTTCTCTTTCGCGGACTCGATTTTCTTTTCAGTAAATCATTTTCTTTTCCTACCGATTAAATGGATAAAATAAAAGATAAAATTACTTTCTTGTGAGAATTAAAATAGGGCAGACCAATTAATCCGGAATCCACGGGATTTCGACAGACGATTGAGAAACCGATCGCCTTCGGATTTTTATTTTATTTTATTGATAATTGCAGATCCAATTCACCAGGTTTTATAATCATTGTTATTGAAAAATTTCATTTACATCCGAATGATTCACCGATTTGAAACGATTTTCCATCTCCTTCCCCCCGAAAGTTAATTAATTCAAAAAAAAAATAAGCCGACGTAATTAGCCATCGGTTGGAGGAAATGGCGGTCTTAAAATTGTGTCGGTCAAATTCTCGTTAAGACCATCAAACCAGCAATAAAGTGAAGATTGAAGAGGAGTCGTTTAATCTTATGGAGCCGGTGGTCCTTGATGTTGCAACGAAACATGAGAATAGAATAAAAAATAAAGCCAAGGCACAAGAGAATAAAAAAAAAATAAGAATGGAATTCATATGGGTTACTGGTGTGCAATACGGCTTTTTATCTCGGACAAAACCTGACGACCGGATTCCCATCTCTTCATCTACTTCCTGTCCTCCGTTGTACAACGGAATGCCTTTCCGCGGATACAGCACGTCAGAGGGACGCAATTGTGGTCTCGTTTGTGGTCGACATTCTGAAGAAAATTGAGAAGCCAACGATCAGCGATCAGTATCGATCTCCGGAAAATTTAAGATCCTCCATCGATTACTGGTCCATCGATATCATAATTCAAAATAATTTCCAGACCTGAAAATTGAATCAGCAGAATCGAAAAAATTCTTACGAAAAATATATCTCTCGGTGAGCAACCTGTTTATTCCCATTCGATCGGTTGAGAACTGAAATTCATCTGAAGAGTATCGATATTATATTCAGGGTGGATGTCTATCGTTCCTGATGCTGTTGACGTGAAATGAGACGCGGGAGAATAATGGAGCAATCGATTCGCTGTGACATTTCTGACTATGTCCTCGGAAAGGCTGACACTTTTTTTTTTATCCTCGTCTGATGCTCTCCTCATGCCTCAAGGGACTTTTGAGAGACTTTGGAGATCATGGGGATCTGTGAAACTTGCGGAATAAAAAGCGTCGGGTAATATTGCATATCAAAGTCTTCTGCGAGAAAAAGAAATGATTAATTCATCATTTCGGAATATTCCCCGGAATTTCAATTGTATAAAAAATTTTAATTAAAAATTCATGATTTTTAAACTGGATATAATTTATAAATTATTTTTATAGTTAATACAATTTTTTAAATCAATGAAGCTGCATTCTAATAAAAATAATCGATACAAGAAATGGTTAATAAATTATAATTCTAAAAAAAGCGGAATGTCTTGGGAAAAAATTCCAGTTCATTTAAATTCAAAAAAAAATTATGAATTTCTCATCAAAGTGACATGTACAGTATTCCCGTGACTTTTAGTCACCTTTTTGCTTCCAGCCCTCGGCTCTCAGAATAAATTTCATTTCGAAGGCTCGAGTCTGATATATCGGGCAATGATTCATCCAGAAGATCCCGGTGGGTGGGAGTGGGTGAATTTCTTGCCGACGGTGGAGGAAACTTTGCCGTTGGTTAAGGGAAAATAAAAAAAATGTGCCGAGGACCAGTCCCTCCTGATATCTTGGTGAAGCGAGTTGGCAATTAGGAGCAGGAGTGAGTTTCATTAATTCCATCCATTACGAAAAAATTCGAGATTTTCTTCCAAAGCGGGAGAAACACTCAATAATTCCTTCAGAATCGGTGAGCGATTGCGAGTCCGGCATTTTAAACAAGTGGGTAATTACCCCGCCATCTCATTATCCAAAAATTGCATCGAAAAAAAAAAATCATTTTATCCTCATGAGGGACTTCCCCTGATTAAGTCTCATTAGTCTAATCCCACGTCTTACGCACGCCGTGAGCCTAGACCCAACGGAATAAACATATGGCTGTGGTTTTTATGGTTTCCAGTATTTCTGTGGTTCAATTGTCGTGCAAATGCGGTGCAATTGCGGTATTGCAGAAAAAAAAAAGTCTAGAGTACCGGCTAGGATCCCCCGAAGAGACAGCAAGCCGCAAAAAAGTTATACCAGCGCCTGGTTTTTGCCAACAGTCTCGTTACCTCACTAATCAACTCTCCCCTTAATTCAGAGAACCAATCAGTTTTCATTTTTTAATTTGCGGAGATAATTACTTTGAGAAGTTCTCATCAGAGGGAAATTCTCACGCTACCGTCGTCACAGGGATTTTCATCAATGAATTACGGAAAATAAAGTAAAATGGAGGGAAAATAAAAAATTGTCTCGAGACGTCGGGGAGGATGTTAATATTTCCAGGCGATTTTTCTCGTCTATTTCATCGGAGGTTCGTTATATGTCTGGAATAATAATAATACCTGGTGGAGGATCTACTCCTGTTCATCCTGGAGATCACACCCTCGTCAATTCAACGACAACTACACATGACAGCCCAGGGTGTACGTGTGGTCTATTAATGCATGCAGTCATTGAATTTGCGCCTTCAGTACACAAACTCATTGTTTCATAGACATCAATTGTCCCACATTCGCGATGGCTTTTTCAGGTGCATCTCCAGGACAGCGATTTCCTGATTCAAATTCAGGTATAATATTCCAAATATTACAGTTGAACAAATTAATTCTCATAATTGATAATTGATCATTGGTAATTGGTAATGAATAATTGATAATTCATTGAATTGGAATTTGGACTAGACGGGAGAATGGAGGAAAATAAAATATGGAGGGAAATTGGAGAAATCGGTTGGGCATTTTATTTTTAATTTGAAGAGCGATACGAGGGACTAGGAAATCTGAAATTTCCTCTCAACGATTGGGATCAAAGGACCGTCAGTATGAGCTCCATATATCAAGCGTTAACATGAACTCAATTAGTGTCGAGGATCAAGCAAATTATACGGAATGCCATTGTTCTGAAGGATTAATTTACACGGAGTCAAGAGAATAGTCTGGACCTGATACGTCTAATTACGAAAATCCCGAGGTGATATTCTCATATTCTCCGGGAATATTTTCAGACGTCATCCCTCGGCGAAAAATTCAACTTTTACACCGGGTGAATCATAAAATTCCTGCGCCATTTATTTTTCCTTCGAATTTACGTCGACAATTTGATGATGGAGTTTACGACATCAGGAGTCATTATTGAGGATGAGCTTGCACCAAATTTATCGGGAATTTGATTAAGCTGGAGGATCGAACGTTTAGGGTTCGTCGTGAGAAGCTGTCTTGAAATTTCGAGGAGTTCAATTTCCCATGATCGAAAAGGTAAAGTGGCTGTTGAATCTCCGGGTTCTCCAAATTTCCAGGGAAGACCTGATGCCAATAAAAAATATATAAATCAAATTTTAAATTTTTAATTGACTTCTCCCGGCAATAGACCTACCTACCAACAGAAATATTCAATAAAAATAATCAGCGAAAAAATAAAAATAATCATCGATACCGCCACAATATTTCGAGTCAATTCCACAATCGGTAATTCTTTAAAAATATTTTTCTCCTCGTAGATTTCGTTTTTAGACGAGGGCAGCTGAAACAATAGCCCCAAGGCTCATTGTCATGCAACATCCCACGTCACTTGACAGACAACAGGAGTCTATAGGTCCAAACTCCCTTTGAAGATGAATTCGGCCGATGTTGATGCGATACAAGCCTTCGAGTATCGATTTCAAGCGAGAGCCCGCGAACAATGAGCTCACGTCAGGCGCGTGCATCTTGTCATCAACAGGACCAGCATAAATACTGGATAATGAAGTCACTGAGAAATTGGGTCAGCCTTGGGTGTCATCAAGAATTTTTTTTTTTTCTCCATCCCCCTAATTCAATCTCTCGTTACACCGATAAATTACACCGTGCGTTACCATCAACAGTTGGAAAATAATTATCAGTGGATATTTCCCATGGGCTACCATTTCCTATACATCTTGTGCAGTCCGGTCCACCGAGTTTCGAGTGAAAATTAAATTTATGGAATTCCAATATCGAATGGTAATTCAATGAGCGACGCCACGGCATCTTCCTGAATTTCTCGTGTATGTACAAACCATTTGCTCTCATCCCCGGACCACTC